CTATATAACGTTGGATGAACATGGAGAAGATCGAGCAGTACAGTGGAAGGATTCAGCTGAAGCTCTTTATGGAATCACGTGGATACGAAAAGCTCAAGATAAGCTGTAGCTGAGCAAAGTACCGAAGTAACTGGCAATCGCACGATTTTCTTAAGCGAAGCAGTTCCTTCGTTTTTTTTTTCAGTCATCCAACAACAGAATACGTATACTTTGATCGGTTATCGTTTTTCTTTTGTGACCGGAGCTGTGCTTGATGGTCATTTTGTTCATTGTTTAGTTCTCAAAAGAGGATTGCCTTTAGATGTTTGGCACCCCTTCTCTATTTCTCTAACTGAGAACCATTGGATTGGTAGTGACTTTGGATTCATGCTCCCAAATTATGCATATTTCAGAACTTTCGGGAGAGAATGGCTGCAAGGATTTCGCTGCATCGAGCAACGCACTAGTTCCGAAGCACATTTTACGATTATGCAAATCGGAGATGTGTGCGAGACATCTGATGGCCATCTGGACGGGCCAGTTCTCATGCGCACGGCATTCCAACTATGAACCACCGCCTTTGCCACCTCTACAATTCGAACTAAATATTGGTTTGTTGTGTTCTGAAATCTGTTAAGGCACCAGATTACTTCGCAGCACACCGAGAGAACCAGGGGCCGCTGCCAGTCTTTTTGAGTCGCGAAGAAATACCCTTAGCTGCGAGTGGAGACAGTGATTCATAAAATAAAGAAATAGCAAGTTTCTTATTTTGCTGTGATGTTATGCTTTGCTGATTAATATCAAAATACAGGAAAGGCTGTACATTTACTGCGGCAAGCCACTTTTGTGATGGAAGCTTCAGACAGTATTCCTCCGTTGCAGAAAGAATGCCCCTGAAAAAGAGGCAGCATGTGCCCTCATCTTCAGAAAATTTGCATTTTTCTCTATTTTGGCGTAATTGCATTACATTCTTTACATTCTTCTCTGTTGTGGCATTTGTAACATAATTATTTTAGATGGCATGATTACTGATGGACACGTTTGACACTAATTTTATTGCTCATTTTTATAAGTACTTTTAGTACTTACAATACTTTCGCAAGTACTTATAGTACTTTTATGAATACTTTTAGTATAGTTAATATTGTTTTATTTATGTCGCTGTCAACACTAAGCCTGCTTTATCGTTTTTATGGTAAATTTAAGAAACGTGGAATTAAAATTATAAACGGTTATAAAAGCGTAATTTTAATTAAAGGAATGGTCTATTTTTTTTGGAGTAATTGTTGTAGTTGCGAATTTCTGGATTCTTGAAGCTTATGTTAGCGTGTGTTAGTTAGGCCAGTTGCTGGTGTTTCTATACTCATTATGCACTAGTTCAAATAAGATACATGCGAATGCGTTCATTTTTAGGTGACTTTCTCTCCGAATTCGACGCCATTTCATTGGTTGAGCATCTCGACGCGGTTATCTCGAAATTCAAGGATGCAACGAAATCGTCGTTGCGGCGGCTTCACTATGTCACCACTGTCGCTTTGCCTGAGGCAATCATCTTTGCAATCACACAGGTTAGCGATATTTTAACTGTAAAGCAGCAACATAGATTTAAGAGAAAGCGGATGGCGGCTGTTTTACCAAGATATCTTGATCTGCATCGCTCCATCGCTGCGTATCTTCGCAGTGTGGATAAAACAAATAACTCTTGCCAAATTCCTGTGATCGAAGCTGTTTTGCTTGATGGTTGTCCCGTTGATGTGTGTTCCTGGTGCTCTTTTCTTTGATCTTATGTTTCGAACATGTTTTCCTCTGCAACTTGATGGCTGCTAGAGTAATCATTTCTTGTATACGAAAGCTGATTTCTTTTTAGATTCGTTATTGCTCTGGAAGAGAAGCAAACGAAATTTTCAAAAATGCGGTCCAAAAAACCGAGGAAAAATCGCCTAGTGAAGTCGGCGAAGAAATCAGTGCAACGTAACATTTTATATACATTGCTGTTTGCTAACTTTAAAATTTTTCAGGTACCACCCTTCATTTTTTTTGCTTCTGGTTCTTTAGAACATTGGCATTGTTGTGGGATTTGCTCAGCTGCTGGCCAGTTTCTTGACCAAGATTTGCTATCTTTCTCTTAGTCCGCCTTGACCTTTTGCAGAATTACTTATGAACTTTCAAGAAACCCGCATAAACATGAGCTGTTGTAAGGTTTAGGATACTGGAGTAGGGTTTTGGGTGAAGAGCGTTGAATTGAACTTTAGGAAATCACTGGAGCATTTTCGAAGTATTTTCTGAATTTCAAGTGGAAATCACTAACACTGACTGACAGTAGCTTTCGTAGCAAAATTGTACATGGGTTCTATTTGCCAGTGCGACCTGAGCAATCGCTATAGCGATTGCCATGTGTGTGATGTTCATGGGACGCCCTTACATGCCGGGCAAGCTGCCCCATGCTCGTTGGTCTCTATCTGTGTACCTCCAATTGGTTGCCATCATCGATTTACGTGCGCTACCTTGTCAGAAGCCTTCCAAGTTGTTACTTTCTCATGGGTACCAGTAAACAATTCCTCACCAGTGGTCGTTACTTTGAGCGACGTATTTTTCCCGACGGATTTTACTCTCTCGCGTTACTGTAGTGATGCCTTCACACCTTGTTTTGCAGAAAGGACATTTGATGCTTTGTGCAGTGACTGAATTTAAACCTTTCGTCTAACTGAATTTAAACCTTTCGTCGCTCTAATGCTCTCTCCGTTTTAGTCAGGGTTCCAGACTGCCCGTTTCGTTATTGAAGAGCTGGGTACGGTCCTTCCGGTTCGATATTGACAGTAGTGTGAAATCTGTCCTGACGACAACCTTCCAACCTATACTGTGATTATGGCGTATTTCCTAACTTAGGTTGACGGTAACTGTCAATTTCTTCGAATTTATCACTGTCTCTGTTCATCCTGACTATGTAAATACTTTCGGATAAAGATGGGCGAAAGGAAAGGGCGAAGGGAGACGGGGGAGGAAGAGAGAGGGGGGGGGGG